CCCATTTTTTAAATCATCTTTCCATTAAGTGCCAGAGCTTAGCTGGCCCTGATTCAGTACAGTTTCCAATAAGATTTGGGGGCTGTAAGTATGGATTGAGCACTGCTTAATTCATTTTCATTCTGATTAAATTTGGAAAGGAGAAAATCACAGGCTTTAAGGCTAAAGGCGACACTTGAAAATGTTCACCATTTAAGGATTTATTCCTCTCATCCCTCCTAAGGTACCTGCTTCTTATCACTGCTTCCAAATACACTGCAATTTGTTTCTTGCAGGTTTGGCTCATTGTGTTTCCTCTGCTTAGACTATCCTCCTCATTTAAAATTCCCTGCAAAGATCTAACCACTCTTCTTCCGTGCCTTGCGAATTCTTTACTCTCTAGGAAACCTTTCATGTTCTTTCATCAGTTAAAATGTCTCTGGCCTTGGAATCCACATGGTGATTTGTGCTTTCCCAATTGAGTTATTATAATAGCATATACTTGTATCAATATGTTGCTAAGCTTTTATCTCTCTCTTCCACCTTACATTGCATGAGATTGCTTTCCTAGAAACACTTCTTTCCCTAGTCCAAGGAGTCTACTGACCAACTGAAGGGAGGAATGTCCTGCAGAGTTCACAGTAGTTCTAGAAAATCAATCAGATTCATCTTGTTGTTCACTCTAAGGCATCTCTCACCACCCAGATATTTCTTCCCATGTAGCTATTTACACATCCTCATGTGACTCAGTTTCCCCCCTCACCTTTACCTCTACCAACAAACTTTCCCTAGAATTCCCTGGAATTCATGCACCATCATCATCAATACCCCCTAAATATTTAACCTCCTTTCTAAATACTGCAGTTGCCTTCTGATCCCTCCCTCCCAGCACCTCTCCCCCATACAAGACTGCTTTCTGCAGCTGTTTCAAATAGTGGCTCCCTAGGGGTAGATGGCAGGTACCTTTCTGTCTCTGAATTGCTGCTTCTAGAATATTATACCACCTCCTTCACCACCTTCTACCAATTACTCTGAATGCCATCATCAGATTGTATCACCCCCCTAAATTCTCTTACTATAGCTATCTACAGACCACTTTAATCATGTCCTTTATTAATGGAATATTTTAGCATTTGGCTTATTGTTTTTTTCTCCACTACAATATATTATTTGTTTCTTTATTTGTTTGTTGGATCTGGTTTTATACATTTTTTAAAGATTTTATTTTATCTATTTGTAGAGAGGGAAGGGAGGGAGACAGAGAGAGAGAGACACATCAATGTCTGGTTGCTGGGGGTCATGGCCTGCAACCCAGGCATGTACCCTGACTGGGAATCTAACCTGCGACACTTTGGTTCGCAGCCCGCGCTCAATCCACTGAGCTATGCCAGCCAGGGCTTGATTTTATACATTTTTTAATTAAAATATTTCATTGTTTATGTTATTATAGTTGACCCAATTTTTCCCCCTTCCTAATATCGTAAGCTGTCATGAAAAAGCCAACGGAGCATTCTATTCACAGGAGTACGTAGCAATTGATCAGTCCCTTTCTTAGCAAGCTTGTTCTTCACATGGTGCATGGAGTCTGCATTTTCCTAGTGTCCCTGCTACCTCATGGCAATATATTCTCAGTATCCTTTGTGGATCTCTTTCTGATCTCCAACTGTTGAGTATCCAGGAAAAGTCTTTGGACTTTCCTGTCCAAACCTATTTTCTAGGTGAGTTCATCCTGGCCAATGATTTCTTTCCTGAATTTAGGTCAGCATCTCTAACTGCCTTGCATATTGAGAAACCCTCACCAACATAAAATCTTGAAAAATGAACTCTTAATGGCTGCCACCCTAATCATGGCAGAAGGAGGGGGACCTGTTCAGAACAAAAACCTCAGTCATTTTTTATTTTCTCTAGTGTCCCACATATCCCCATTAACAAATCCTTTTGGCTATCTTTTGACTCCCTTTTATGTCTTATGCCTACTACCATGGTTCTAGCCACTATCAAATCTTGCCTGGACATAATGTGTTCAATCCTGTTACTATGTTTGTCTGATAACACTGCTATTTGTCCCCACTCCCAACCTTGCACAACATGCAGAATACTCCTCTTACATTGGGTTATACTTTTCCTGTGGATAAAACCATTTAATGTCCTTAGAATGTTAGAACTGAGACCTTCAGCTATAACTGCTCTACCCAGCAAAGCTATCATTTAGAATTGAAGGGCAGATAGCTTCTTAGACAAGAAAAATATAAAGGAGCTCATTGTCACCAGACAATTATTATATGAAATGTGAAAAGGGGTTTATTTAAGAAAAAGAAGAAGATCAAAACTATGGACAATAACATGGCAATAAATACATATCTATCAACAATTGAATCTAAAAAACAAACTAAGCAAACAAGAACAGAGACAGAATCATGGATACAGAAAGTGTTTTGATGGTTGCCAGATAGGAGGGAGGTAGTGGGGAATGGGTGAAGAGGTGAGGGGATTAAGAAACACAAATAGGTAGTTACAGAATAGCTAGGGGGATGTAAAGTACAGTATAGGAAATGGAGTAGCCAAAGAACTTATACACATGATCAGTGGCCATGAACAATGGTGTGGGGATGGCCTGAAGTGGAGGGTGCTGGGTGGAGGGGAGCAGAGGCAGGAAAATTGGGATAACAGTAATAGCACAATCAATAAAATATAATTTTAAAAAATAAGATCTCTAGAGTAAATCCCATACTATAATTCTGAACTAGATTTTCAATCCCATCTCCGACCAGTCTTTTTCAGTCACACTGATCTCCAAGCTTCCTCCAGCTTCAGGTACTTTATATTGGAATGCCCACAATGCTCCTTATATAGGAATCCACATGTCTTTCTCTTGACTACACGAGTTTGTATTAAATAGATACTGATTTTCTTGATACACATTTTCCCCACTAGTTTGTATTAGTAGTGTGACAACATTTTGTTTGTCTGATTGTTTTTTAATTGTTCTATGCCCAGCTTCTAGAAGAGTGCACACTTTAAATACTCAAAAATATGTTTACTGATTAAATGAACAAACAGTATCAATCAATAGTTAATGGGATTAAAATATAGAACAAGATAAAAATAATCTCCAAAGGACTGTTACTTGCAAATCATAATGCAAGTTGTATGTATGTAATGTGATTGCCTTAAATTTCTGGACCACTTTTGGTTAGAAATGGTGATTTAGATCAGGAATCAGTATTTGGCACTGTGAAAAAGGTATTTTGCAAGCACAGCACACAAGCTTTATTTGCTTGATTGATTTTTTTATTTCTTAAGGTGTTCTAAGTGATAAGATAATATGTCAAAAACCTCGCAACTCTAATTATGGTCTTCCTGGCAATAAGGAAAGAAAGGCAACTGTTGATATGCAGAACTATTGGGAACCATCCTGCCTGGTTTCAGAAGCTGTAACCCCCACCAAGGCTACGGCTGAGTGAGCAACCTTTGGATCAGAAGCCACTACGGAGACAAAAGCTTATCTTCCTGGCAGGAACACTGCTTCTGCTCCTTTTACTTCATCCATAACTGGCCCCCAATGCTTGGTCGGTTAGCCAATGATGGGTAAGATTCCCCAAAGGGGGGAACTACCTAAGACAGGCACAATCACTTGGGAGGCCCCCAAGGAAGGACTTTGGGGGTACAGGGAAAGGGGGTGATAGACCCTTGCCACTCGGCTTTGACAAAGCCTGAGTCCTCATTCTCTCTGCAAGAAGTCTCCTAATCTCTTGACTGCCTTACTTCCCCTGCCTGACTTAAGCCTGAAACAATGATGAGGGTGGTACAGCCCTGTGCTGGAAAGGGCGAGTTCCCCAGGCAATCAGGCCTAAGAAAGAATATGTAAAATCCTGTGAAACCTGCTTTGTTTAGAATGCTCTCAATTAAATGATAAGGGTCCAAGCAAGAAGTGAGTTTGTTCCTCAAAGTTTTACAACTCTTTAGCTATCTGACCCAGATTCAAAATAGGCCCTCAGAGTTCTTTGTTATCTATTGTTTGATCTTTACTGCCTGACAATGATTAATGAGCTTTACCTGTATTCCTGTGCAAAACGAACCCAATAAAAGCCTATTGAGGAAAAGGCTCTTGGCCCTTCTCCTTTGAGAGATTGGCCACCTTCCCTCCCCAAGCAGATCATGTCTTGGTAGACTTATTCTATCCATGGTGGCTGGGGGGGCCCTATGGGAGGAGCCCCCTCCCCCGCACCAGAACTATAGGAAATAACAGCTGGGTTTGCCTAGGGAAATTTAGATTTAATGTTTGTATGTTAATAGCTATTTTTAAAAATCTGTTTATTAAGAACTTCCAGAAAAATACTTGAAACAGAAAATCTAAAATGTTCTAGCTTCTAAACATTTTCCCCAATACAAGATGATATTAATAAATTTATTTCTTAGTAATAAAAGTATTGTGACTTCACGCACTGCCAACCATGAAAAATATCTTCCATCACTGATAATGAAGAAAATTGAAAGTATTCAACTTTAGTCTTAGACATTGTATTTTTAAAATTCCAAGTTAGCAATTTTTTCTGACACACCCAATTTTTTAAAACATTTAATAAAATACTGAAATTAGTAGTGTGGTTTTAATTTATATAACTAGCATTGTTAGTTTTAAAAATTACTGCAGAAAATCATTTCAGAATTTATTACATTATTTCTTCTATTAGAAAGTGACAATTAAAAAGTCTATGAGGAAAACGTACATTTTAATTTTTTATTCAGCAAAAACCATAGTAAGTAATGTGCTTCTTTTTTGTAGTAAAAATAAAATACAAAAGTTTGCTTTGCACTCACATCATAATTAATCTGTATTTTGTTTGGCTAATTATACTCATATATCTCCATGTTTCAGTCTTTGTTTAAACAGGAATAAGTACTCAGTTAATGCGAACTACATGTTTTTAGTTTATCTGCAAAATTGGTTATAATTTATCTAAAAAAATTAAATTCTTTGCTTTTACTTTAGTTCTGGATCTTAATAAACTTTCTCATACCTTAACTTTGAGCACAGAAGAAAACATTTTTGCATCTTCAGATACACCTCCAATGTAGAATTTTTTCTGAAACACTGGGGGATGATCGTTTTCATCCTGAATCTCAATATATACTTTAGCTGTATTGCCTGGAGGATAAAAAATAATATACTTTTATTAGTGGTTATTCATTAGTAAAAATGCAGTAGAATAAATATTTATTGTACTTTATTTTTTTTCTGAATCAATGGAGATAGCAAATCATAAAGTCATCCCTAAATGACACTGTTACAGGGTGCAGCCAAGAGGGGAGGACCCCAAGTAGGCATTTGAAATGGGGTCCAGAACTTAAGGTGTCCAGGAGATTTTAAGATGTCTCTATCCCCCCACCCAGGGTGTGGGTTGGGGGAAGGGACAAATGGAGCAGGGCCATTGAGAGCTGTTTTGCATAGCAACAGCCTTGCAGCTACCCTCTGGCATGGTCATTTAACATATCTATAGCCTTTGGCTGGTTGCTTAGATATGTTAAATAGCTGTGATCATCTCTGAGCCAGGGGAATGGAAGTAACTTCCCCACCAAGACGTGACTGGGGGCAGATCCCCCAAGCTACAGCGCCTGTGTGGGAGCTCAGAGAAGATTGGCTCCTGGACATGGGGCCATGCCTGCCCAGACTCAAGATGGCAGCCCAGTAAAGCTAGAAGGATATGAATTCTGGCAAGTGAAGCCAAGTGTGGGAGGAGCCAGAAATGAGGCTGCAGAGGAAGATTGGCCGCGGGGATTTAAAACCCAGACTTGGTGGCCATTAGGGGAGAGAACCACGCGGCTTTGACGAAGTGGAGACTCCTGCATCCCAGAGAGAACCATGCGGTTTTAGCAGAATAGGGAGGACTTCAGCCATTGAGGGAGAACCATGCTGCTTTAGGAAGGAGAGCCATGCACAGCCCTGAGGAGGTGAACCATGCACAGCCCTGAGAGAGGAGAACCATGCAGCTTTAGTAGAATAGGGAGGACCTCAGCCATTGAGAGAGGGAGAACCGTGCTGCTTTAGGAAAGAGAACCACGCGGTTTTGGCAGAGTGGGGACTCTCTCCTTCCCGCAGCCCTGAGGAGGGAGAACCACGAGGCCTGGACAGAGTGGGGACCCCCATAGCTTTAGAAGGGGAATCACCACCTGGTTTTAGCAGAGATCCCAGTGACTCAGCTGAGGGTGCCGGGAACCCAGGGAGGTCTCCCAGTCGAGATGGAGGACTAACTGGGAAGAACCAGAGGACTGCCTGAGCCATGGACTTCTATTTCCTTTCCTGAGATGCGGTACTCTGGAATGGGCAAAGGGGGAAGGAAGGAAGGACTGTGTCTGTTTGTGGGTGTTTTAAGGGACTTTGGGATTTTTGATAAAGACATTAGGTCACTACTTTAAGTTTGTATAGCATTAAATAAACATTTCCTTTCCTTTTCGCAAATCTCTGGCATTGAGAGACGTCTTTCCTCTGGCGGCGGACATAACGGACCCGGGGCCTTCTTTCAATAATAGTATATTGTCCCAGGCCCCCCTTGTTCTGTTCTGTAACAACACGACTAATACCACAAAATCCACAGAGGACACTTATAATGATGTTTCTGACATAACATTAAACTGTGGCTATTTCTTTTAATTAGCAGGTCTTGGCAATTCATATTATTTGATTTAATAGGCACCAAAGTATTGCATTCTGCTAATTTTAATAAAACAACTGAATTGTTCATGTTTACAAACACTTCACACATTACCTATTATACAAAAGTGGAACAAATATATAAACACTTATGAAGTAATAAAAACTGCACATATATACACATATATATAATTCTTAAGTATAAAAGCAGCAATGATATTCCTTTAGCTTAAAATGTGCTATAACTTTTTTTGTTTAAGATTAAAATAAGGGGACTACATGGTAATGGAAGAAAAACAATGAAGATTAAAAAAGAAAAACAAAACAAAAAATAAAAGTGAGTGATGTTTGGATAAGGTGCTTATTTCTGCAAAGGGAAAATAAGTTCTATCATGTATTAGAGGCTCTCTGCTATTCATTGCAAAAGATGTGTTGGAGAGATAATTGACACATAACTCATAAATACCAGGTTTTGTAATTTAAACAATAGTAAATGTTTCATAAAAAATGCATTTTGTCATCAAATATTAGAGTCTCACCCCTGCAATCATCACACGTTTAATAAGAAATGTATTGCTTGTCACTAGTCCAATAATGACCTTTTACAAACCCAATAAAATGAGGAATAAGGGGTTAATCGTTTTTGCAAAAGTAAATTAAAATTATATAAACATTCTGATGTAGTAAGTGAACTTCTCTCAAGCATTTCAATTATATGACAAATATATGACAACTGATCTACAAAATATTTATCATGCATACTCTAAATTTTGCTGCTTTATCATACTCCCAACTATAACTAATTAACACCAACCTACTATCACAGTGAGTACATAATGGGTATACAATATATCTATCTATGTTGATTAATGCCTATCAATCAGTAATATATCTATGTTGATTGAATAAATGAATGAATGAGTAATCTGCATTATCTTAGTGAGAATTTTTAGCAAGCTTCTTATAATTTGCCCTGAAATCAGAGAGACAAGAGGGTGAGTTCCAAGGTTTCACCCCATATCCTGCTGCTACTCATTTAGTTTCTCTCTTATTAGCCTCTTTTCTACCATTCTTGAACTGGAAGAGCTAGAATCGAGAGAAAAAGTGTGCTAGGTCAACAGAGAACAAGGCTAATGGCAGATTATGCTTCTCTATTCTATAGTGCCAGGACTCTGAACTGAACCCTGATAAGCCACCCACCAACAGAGTTCATCCAAATGAAACCCATTTTCGTCTTAGCAGATCATTTTGTCTCTGGAATCAAGGAGCTCATAGCTCTAAGTTTAATATTTTTTAAAGAAAAGTAATCCTAAATTACATGACCTTTCCAATAACTGTATTCATGTTCTTAATAAATGACCACATTGGTTATGATCCCTATTTGCAACACTGAAAATGTAAAGGTTGATTTTCAACTCACTATAAAGGGATAGATTTATGTTCTGAAGCTTGCCTATTTTTCTCCTGGCACTATAGAAAATGATGACAGAAGGTTAGGCCTAGGCATAAAGGTATTATGTCATTAGGGACAATTTGTGCTTTTGGAAATCTTTTAAAAAGCTATTATTTCCTTTAGGTATTAGGAAAACTAGTATAAGTATCAGTGTTGTAATTTATATCAACATTTATGAGCTATATAAAAATATTGTATATATATTTTATAAACTCCAGAGAGAATGCAATAAAAATAATTATTTAAATATCATTTTAGCAGCTATTAAAAATCTCTAAAATTAACATCCTATAGAAACATTTAGATAAATATCTATTTATATTATTGATATTCAATGACTGTACATTTTCTATAAAATAAATTATCTAACTTCAATAGTTGAGATAAAAGTTTTCAAGTTTTTTATTTCTAATCTATTCATCTCATGAACATTATTACGATACAAGCTATCATGCTCCCATACCAGTTATACTTAAGCCATATTTGTTATGAGTAATATAGAACTTAATCATATCCAGTGCTTTAAAGAAACCATGAAATAAAAATTATGATAGTACTTCTATGTTATAAATTATATTAGGAAAGGAAGCACAATTATGAAAGGATAATCATAGTGAATATTTAAATCTCTTTCTATTTTTTTTTAAGTTTCACCTGCCAGGTTTGAGCATCTTTAACTTCATATGCATTCTAATATTAATAATAATACATACACATATATTTAACTTATCTGTTTATCTCATTTTTTAAAAATTGGTTGTTCTTTCTGTCTCTAACTTCTTTTTGATATGATTATGTTAGTTTCTCTTCTGATTTTTAAATATTTGCCTAGATATTTAATTTGTATAATTAAAATGTATTAGAATGGAATCATAAGCCTATGCTATGGAACTACATAATTTCTAACTCATCTGGCAGAGAAAGAAATGGAAATGAAATACTATAAATATTTTATGTATATTCAATATATAATGTTACTGGGTTCCATGTAAGTCTAATCCTGGTCTGTTTTTATACCAAATAACTTTATACTATTCACTGCTGACTTGATGCATTTTATAAGTCAGTTTTGTGCAATCACAATTTTATATAAAATAGAAGCCTTGGCTGGTATGGCTCAGTGAATTGCATGCTGGCCTGCAAACCAAAGGGTCCCTGGTTCGATTCCCAGTCAGGGCACATGCCTGAGTTGTGGGCCAGGTCCCCAGTAGGGGGTATGCTAGAGGCAACTCCACATTTTGTTTCTCTTCCCCTCTTTATCCCTCCCTTCCCCTATGTTAGAAAACCCAGCACCAAAGTGTGGCTAACAGTATAAATAATGCTTTCTTACATCTATTGAAGTATTTAAAAATATTTTCCATTTTAACTGTGACTGAGTCCAAATTCAAGACCATCAATATGTATACATTATTTTAATAGTTCTTTATTTCTCTTAAAAGTTGAAGAATATAAATACATGCTTCTTTATATGTCCTTTCTATGTTTAGCTAAAATTAAACACTGGAAGTTAACAATTATCAAAGAACATGTGGCAAATATTGTTCCAAGCTATACAGAGAACCCAGTCCCATGAAATAAAACTATTATTATAAATATTATTATTCTTATTTTTACAGAAGAGCAAAACAGGAAACAGAAAGGTTTGGTCACGTTCCCATATTTCTTCTAGTACATGGTACTGGCTGAGAGTTGAGCTCATTGTTTGATGACACAACCCAACCACTTATATTTGTTTACTGTTCCCTCTACCCCTTTTAGGACAAAGGCAAATTTGTGTACCTAGTATGGGTACAAAGAAGTTTGAGAGTTATTGGCAAGCAGCAATTTAAAGATTATAATCACAAACACCTTGATTTTCTTTAATTCTTTGTAAGGAGTCCATTTACTTTCCAGTTATCATCACCTCAACGATGTCTTCAACAGACACCTCCCCAACACCCATCGTTTGAGTCCCACCAGTGTTTTTATTTTCTGCACAGCCTTACCACTGCAATTACTTCGGTTGAATATTTATCTGACTCCTCATTTAGAATATAAAGTAGTT